AGACTGTAGTCTGGAGAACCGGTTCTGGTTTCTCTGAAAGACTCTCTCTTGGTTTGGACTCTTCATTCTCAGTTTGTTTAGAGGCCCACGTGTTTGCCTCGCCACTCAAAAGTGTCACTCCATACTGGGCCAGATTAAGGTTTTTGGAGTTAATCTGTTGGATGATGGGTTTTTGATTGAGACGAAGCCCAGAAGAGACAAACTTGCTGGGAGGTTTAACTCTGATGCTCTGCCCTCTGGACTGGAGATTTGTTTCCACTTGTCCAACTCTTTGTACATTTGGGACTTCTTGGATGGGTGCACTGGTCTGTTTGCCGTAGAAGAACTCCTGCAGCAGGTCACTCTGCTCAGGGACCTCAGTCCTACCAGCAGCAGGATCCAATGTTTTCTCTTTGCCAGTCTGAAAGAAATAATTCCCAATGTGTTCCTGTGGTTGGACCAACGTTGGGTAGTGAGTGGTTTGAGTTGGCCTGTTGTGATACTGATGTTGGTAAACTGGGTTGTTGACCTCATCGACCTCCATTCCAGCGCCGGGGGACCAATAGAGGTTAAAATTGGGCTTTTTTGAGTCTGCCATGCCAAATAATAGATCAGATGGAAGACTCTGATGAAGAATCTCACTTTCATCAATAATGGACTGACCCTGGTCCATTTTGTCCCAGACTCGAGACCCGAAAAGGGAACTTGAGCTTCCCTGGTTTTCACTGATTGGACGGTGGGAAATCCTGTCAAATGGGCCTGAAGGGGAGTATTCTCCGCCTGGTCCTGGCGTTTCCCTGGCCTGTCCTTCAGAGCTCTCTGGTGGTGCGCTTGGGTCTTCCACATCGGTTAAAGGATAAAACCTGGAGAGAGACGAATAATCAGGAACCGCTTTTCTTTTCTGCATTATTCTTCAGATGAGACTCACTGAGGGACTTGCAGGATTGGTGTCTCTGAAGAATGGTCCTTATTTAAGGAGGAGAGCAGCTGTTTTTGTCCTCCTGATACTGGGATGAATTGGCTGTTTCCTGGTCGAGGCAGAGTTCCCACTGCAGATGGCTGTAAGCGGAGCGTACTCGATGGGGCATTGATGCTCTCTGACTGCTGACATTTTTTATTTGAATCTGCTAAAAGAGAAAACATTTAACGCAACAATAAAGCCAAAGATCTTCTCCTTATGAAAACATCCCAACCTCTTTTGCTCTCAAAGACTCTCATTGATCCGAATCCAGGAGTTGCTGAGGAAAAGGTCTGGTCTACAGAAATTCTGTTGACTGCACTCATAGGATAGAAGCATCTCACCGTCACCCTGTCAGAGATTCAGATGAGTCTCCAGGACAGTTTCAGAACAGTTCTTCCTGATGGTTCACAGGTCCTTACTTGAACTGAGGTTCTCTGGAGATGAAGTTCGGCCCATCTGCAATCAGGAGTCGATCATGGACTATCTCGTTCTCGTAAACCATGTACCACTCTCCAACCTGTAAATATTCTCACATTAAGACCATTAATTTTCAGGTCTAAAGGTTGGACTTGGCACTGCCCTAAACAACCACTGGCACAGATATTTTTAGGCTTTGCCATTTTTCTCTTCATGATCGAGACACCAAAGGAGCTACAGGTATACGAGTTTATAGTATCAACACCCCCTGAGCAGTCTTTGCCTAACTGAGACTCCAAGATGATCTGGAAATCTGGATATTTCAAATCTGATTGATAAAGAAATAGCTGAAAAGTTCCTTGGTCCATTTCCCCCTTAAAGAACATCCATACCGTCGCTCTGGTTCCACAGGAGTTCACCTTGAACTCAAACAGGACTTTGGATCCATCAGCTTGTTTTGGTTTGCAGGTAGGGTCCAGAAGACTGGTTCTTTCAGGTTTCACCATTGGCCACGTGGAGGTCGGCGTTGCCACCACAGTCATGGTGCCGTCTGCAGAGCAAACTGAAAGCAACGTTTATGAATATCAGAGCATCAGAACAAGTCAGTAAATTGGTCTGGTTAGTTTCAAAACTTTGCACATTCAGCTCAGAGCTTTGAGGGAGGAGAAGTTACCTATCATGTTCTGCGTTCTGTAAAGGCAGCGCTTTGATGTGGATGCCTGGACCTCCAGAGTTTTGGAGTCTCTTAAAAGCAACTTAAATGTTGCATAAAAGTTTGACAAGTTGATGTCCTAGAAAACAAAATACAGACATTAAAACTCTTCTACATCTTTAGTTTTTAAGTTTTAGGCTGGATGACCCTTTCAAAACCAAGCTAATAAATGACCTGGATAGCAAGCCAGTTTTGGTGCAGTTCTGTATGCATGCAGACCAATGATTGTGGAGCAGTTACTGGAGCATCAAGCAGCCCGAGTGGTGAGTGAACGTCTGATGGGTACCCTCAGATTAGATAGGAATACCATCTGTGACAGCAGCACCCACACTCTTGTGACCACACAATTTTTACAACAGCAGTCTTTGTTACTAATAAAGCCAACAGGTCCTTCACATTGAAAGGCTCTGCAGACCGTGCTCCTGGAGCAACGTCAAAAACTTGTTTAATTTTGAGCTATTCGCCTACCTCATGATTAGCTGCAAAACGTGCCAAGAATGGTTGGAACCTCAGTTATGTAGCCGTTACATCATGGACTAACCTCATAAGTGTAGCCGATGGAAAAAACTGGGATGTCCAGGATAGTTCTGATGCTGTCATTATGGAGGCGGTAACCTCTCTGGGCCACCAGCTGCTCCGTCAGGGGCTCATGGCCGACGCCGACCTCCCAGAGACTCCGAGACTGTCTGGCTATGCTGAAGGAGATTCCTCCATCGTAACACTGAGCAGTTATCTCTGGTGGGACTTTGGGGAGAAAGTCAGGATTCAGGAGAACTTGGACGGATTAACACCCCAGAGCTTCCTTAATACTCACATTCATTAAAAACTCGTGCTGTAATGACGTTCTGGTAGTAGTAGGACTCCCTCTGAGGCACAATGGTTAAAGTGACGTTTAGGTCTATAGAGTACTCCACTACACCTCCACCCATATTCTGTTGTAGGGACAAAAGCCGGACTTAGACCAGAACAGACGATTAGAGCCGTCAACTACTTTAATTGTGCTGCCTTGGCTCCAATGCCTACAGTTAGAGCAGCTCTGACAGTAAAGAAAATTAGCAAAGATGAGCTGGCTGGTAAAACTATAAGCTCACCGTCCACTGCACGACAGGATCATCGAAGGGTAGACGCAGCTGGTAGGCCTGGCTGCCGTTGGCATGGACAACCGGACTGATGCTGAGGCCTCGCTGTGGCTTCCCCAAGATCAGCAACCGCTGTCCATTAATCCAGATTTCCTCCAAGAGGACATCTGCTGGAATGTTCCCCAGATAGACTGTGAACTCCTGATCACCAATTGTCTCTGTGGATAGAAATGCCACACAGCCAGTCTTTAGGGTGTGAGAAGCAGGTACAGGTATCAGAGCTTTTCTAATCTAAAGCAAAAACCCTTACGGTTGAGGCAGAAAGGTTGCCTACAGACCAGCGGCGTCTCAAGCACTTTGAAGGTTCTGTGTTTGGTGTCAATGCTGTGGCCGTCGTCAAAGATCAGAGAGAAGACATGTTCATACATCAGGAGGACCGTGTAGAACTCCTGGTACAGATTTTCCAACACCAAACTCTGTAGGAACAAAGCCCAAGTTTAAAGTTGCATTTCCTTAAAGCCAATGGGCAATCAGCAATTAGACTTTTAATCCCACTCTACCTTCCTGAACCCTCCTTCTGACCCAAAAGGAACTCCAATCTCTATCATTCCCTCTTGATGAACCAGACTGAGGCCTTTGGAGGCAGCAGTGGCCTCATCCAGCAGGGAACCATCCAGACCCAAACTGAAACTCTGACTTTTTAATCCTGCTCCCTCCCCAACCAGAGCAGGTAGAAACCGAGGGACATTCCAGAGCAACCGAGTGCCATCGAATGATCCAGTATCTGAAGGAAAAAGGCAAGAACATTCTTAGCTCCGGTTCAGACTGCAGCTCATCTCTGATGCATCAGCTTACTGAGTGCGCAGGCCATGGACATATCAATCATCACCAGCATGAGCTTCTGTCTGAAGAACAGAGACACCTGGATGGTCTCCACTGGAACATCGTCAACCTAAGAGATCAGTTTCATTATCAATGTGAATGAAAACCAGGAACAGCTGAATCGTAAAGGAAAAATATTTTCATGCTGTAAAATTTTGTCCTTTTAGCTCCTAAGTGGTCACTCTGCATCTTTTCTAGACCAAGTTCTTAGTCTAGAACTAATGTTTGTGTGAAAAAGGACTCTTGGATTCACCATGGAGGAGAAATGTCTGTTGTGCGTTTGTTGATACCCACCATGGTGACCTCAGCATGCGGCTGTTTGAGCGGAGATCGAAGGATCACCCTCTGAGACGTGGCCATCACGCTGTAACCCCACTGTTGGGCCTCCGGGATGGACATTGAGGTAGTCTGCCCGTTCCTTTGCAGGAATATTAGCTGCCAGGACAAATTGGCTGTCTTCTGAGCCTGAAGACCACAAACCAGCCATCTGACATGAGAACCACCTCAGGGTCCAACCAGGGATATCAGAAAAACGTAATCCCTCATTAGCCGACAACTGGACTGGCTATACCATCAGCAGGGACCAGAGGTTACCTTAAAGAGAGCTTCCTGCCAAACATCTCTACGCTCCACTCCATGAGCTTCACACGAAGACTGTCTGTTAACATTCACCTGGGAGACGACCACAACAGTTTAGGCAGCAGTCTCACAGGCAGCACCAGAAGTGGTTACAAGTGTCCTCACCTCCATGTAGTCTTCCTCGCAGGTGAGCTCTCTGTGGGTCCAACTGATACCAGAACAGACCGTGGAAACAAACCGGCTGCTCAAGCCTCCACCGTTGTTTATTAGCACGTTGAACTTGAAGGTGAACAGCTCATCATTCTGAAAAAAACACCCAAAACAATTTGGTAAAGATGAGCAGCAGTAGGTGGGATTCAGGGTAGTTGGACAGACCCGGCCACCCTCAGTGGCCAGGTCTAGGCTGGTGGGTTGACCAGCAGGTGAAGCCAAAGGTTCTTAGAATTAGAACCTGGACATACGTTTGTGAAGCTTCTGTTAAAAGGCTTAGAACAAGGTACCTGGTTGTGGGTGAAGCAGGAGTAATAAGATGCCCTGAGGACAGTGAAGCCATCCTGCTGGTAGGCGCTGATGGTGTAACCACAACGCGAAGCAAGCTGCTCACCAATGGAGTGGACACCATCGTCGTCTAGATGATATGACAGACCGTGAGACCTGGAAACTTTAAAATCATCGTGTTCACTGATGAAGAACTGACCGACAGCTTCGAAGTGAGGCATCTGTGCCGAAGCCACGCGGATCCACAGGTACCGATCCCGACACTCCAACTGAACCAAACCTGCGGACAGAGCACCAGTGGGTCTGCAGTCGCTAAGGTTCTGTGCAACAGGAGTATCGTAGTGAAGATGCCAGGTTTCCTCCTGGAGACTCAGCTCAGTATTTAGATCTGGGTCAACTGGGGATCTGGAGACCCCTCCCCCAACCAACCAACCAACCATGGAGGAACCCAGGGAGCTGGTGGAAGGTTGCTTTCTGTGAATGAACAAACTGTAATAGATGTTCTTTTTCTTTTTCTGTTATTCAGCAGAACTTTAATTAGAAACACCTTAGTAACGCTAATGTCTACCAAACTGGAACATGTTTGACTTCATGAGGAGGAAACCCTGCAGGCTTAAATGTAGATAAACTAGAATCTGCTCACCGTCCAGCTGGCCCCCAGCCGCCGTTTCCTTAATAAAACAGCTGCAGATCATCCAGAGCAGCCTGGAACACAAAGCAGCAGAGTTGAGCTTTGACCTGCCCAGGTGAGACCGGTGTTCTGTCAGGAGCATACCCCATCAGACCGGCATACCCCATCAGAGGAGCATACCCCATCAGACCGGCATACCCCATCAGAGGAGCATACCCCATCAGAGGAGCATACCCCATCAGAGGAGCATACCCCATCAGACCAGCATACCCCATCAGACCAGCATACCCCATCAGACCAGCATACCCCATCAGACCAGCATACCCCATCAGACCAGCATACTAGTGATGTTATGAGATGAGCCGAGGCTTCGAGGCGTGTGTGGAGTAATGGAGGGGGCGTTTCCCCGAAGCGCGTGTCGAGGCGTGATTCATTTAGAGGCGGGGCCAAAATTGATGACGTCCGAGGCCTCGCTACCGTGATACCATGTGACCGCTTCGGGAAGTGGTTCAGAATGCGCAAGAATTTTGACAGGCATCTAAACAGCCTCAGTGTTCAGTCAAGATGTGGGAGTTTGGAGGAGAGCTGCTGTCAGCTGGATAAAGTTTGCATAGATTCTAAGAATAGATTGGTTGTTTTTCCAACCAATCTAGTTGCTTAAAACTAATTTGGTTAGAATAAACAATGTAATGATCAAAATTTGAGCAAACCACCGGACAAAGTCAGTGTTAACACGTTGCTGTTAAGTAGTATTTTCTCCCTGCTATGGTCATCTACATATGTGGCGTCATCTGTAAGAGACAGGCTCTCACTCTAGAAGTTGATGGTTCAAGACCTGCCTTTAACTTTGAAAATTGCGATTAAACTGGTTGATGAGACTAATTTGCATTGTTTTGCCCAAGTAAAAATATAGATTGGGTAAATTAGGTCGGTTTAGTCAAAAGATTGGTTGAACACAACTTCCAACCTGATTAAAACCAAAAATCGTGGAAAAACTATCATGTTTGAATAAAAATGACGTACACCTTTCATTTTTCTCATCATTGCTCATCAAAGTAAATTCCCTCTGGGATTATTAAAGTATTTCTGATTCTGATTGCCCAGTTTTACCCAATTTGCACAAACACTTTCACTGTCTGCTTGAGTTTATTTAACTAAAATGGCAGAAAAACTGTGCACCTTAAATGATTGTTCTAAGAAATTTTACACTTAAAAAAAATTACAAAAGATTTTATTATACACACCAACCATTAACAATTTCAAGGGAACTTTAAAGGGGGAAAAAAGAAATTTAGATTTTATTAAAAAATGTAGTTCTGCTGTCCACCAGTAGGTGGTGACATGTTCACATGAAGCCTCATGAATTGTGGGGATCGTTGAAGCTATTCGGCCAAACGGTTCAATGCCTCATGAGGCTTCATCTCACCATCAGACCAGCATACCCCATCAGACCAGCATACCCCATCAGACCAGCATACCCCATCAGACCAGCATAGCCATAGTCAATCCCAGTCTATCCTTTTAGTTTAAAAAAAAAACAAAAAAACAAAAAAAACAAAAAAAAAAAACAAGTTTAAACTACCTCAATTGGCGTGTATCCTTTTAGTCGTACACAAAACCCCCCAAAAACAATTTCAGTTCAGATCCCCATACCTTTCAAGAAACACCAAAAAAGTAATTAGTTTTTTTGTACATGACTAAAGGGATACCCCCCCGCTGAGGTAGTTTAAAGCCTATTTTTCATACAAAACTAAAGGGATAAACGCAGATCTGATTTGTTGGGCATGCGTATTGACTATAGGTACGTTCCTCTGACAGACCGCCGGCTCAGGTGAGACCGGCTCAGGTAGGACCGGTCCAGATAAACTCACCATACGGAAGCCGCAGTAGCTCTCATGCTGACGCTGGAAACTCTCTCCTCAGCTGGAAGCTCCTTCTCCACTGAGGGAAGCCGTCAGACTCTGCAGGCAGGTGTGCTAATCACCTGGTTGTCATAGTAACCAAAGAGAGAACCCAGGTGGGTCTACTTGAGGATGATTGTATCTGAATTGGAGCAGCAGGCCTTTTCTCTGCCTGTCAGGGAGAACTTTCATGAAATTCAGGCTGTGTTGGGTTTTAAAAGCTGCGTCTTCAGAGGATGAGGTCCGCCTGGACTGGATCCTTCAAGGAAAATCAGGAGACCGGAAGAGTTTTGGCTCTGAATTCAGGTCCAGCCTTCTGTACGCTATGTTGCCTAGCAACGGTGACATTTGACACCCAAAGCAGGAAAAGAATAAATACCAAACTTTTCAAAACTGTTTCTGCTATTTTTTGTTTATTGTAAAGTGAACAAAGACTACGCTCATGAGAATCCAGAAAAAAATAAAGGTGCCAAATAAAAGCAAATGTAATGATATAACAGGGGTAGAAAGATAGATGTAAATCCAAACAATGTATGTAAAAAAAAAATATATCCTCAAAATGTCTTATATCCAAAAACAAAAAATACTTAGTTAAGCAAATTGTGCAAAATAGCAATAAAAAGATAAAACTCCTATCAGATTTATAGTCCCCCCCCTGCAGATATATTAGAATCTGTCCTTAAATTCCATTGACACAGTAACAGATTAAAACCTTGAGATAAACCAAACATTACCGCCACATATCTGACTCTATAACCATTAAAACAACTATTTTCATTCATTTCAGACGGAACTATTCACAGACTGGATTATATTAAACTGCACTTCCAATATTCACCACTGTTTGGCGCCATTTCCCTTTTTCCTCTGATCACGGAGCAGCCGGCTTGCTTGGACTCGCAATGAATCCTGGGAAAACCAAGGATAGAGAGGATACATGGGGTGTTCTGTCAGACCAGCATACCTATAGTCAATACGCAAGATGTCAGATTTGCGTTTATCTCTTTAGTTTTGCTCAAAAAACAGACTTTAAAGTCGTAGGGAAATTGTATTTAAATGTCAAATCATTCTGGTTTAAACATGTATATAAATGTCTTCATCAGACCATATTGTCTCAAAAGTTAGAAAATTTCTATTTAAAAAAAATCCTGTCTTAAAATAAGTGTTTCTTCGTTATCTTCTGCAGGCCAGTTAGTTCTACGTCAGCCTGAACACCTAAATTCAGCCAATCATGTATCAACGGTCATCTGTCAATCAAATGTTTTCGGTCATAGCATCTTGATTCATGTGTCGCAGCTAATATACGCAACGGTTGAAATCAGAATCCTTTCCAATATTCCTAAAACCCAAATGAGAATCGTTTGGTAACCAGAACTGTCCCACATGCATCTTCATCAGAAATCAACCTGCAGAAACTCTGTAACCCGATAAAAGGTTCCCACAGGGGCCCACATGTACATTTAGTTCACAATAGTGAAGTTCTAGTTCTGCAGAAACTGTGCAGAGCTCTATAGGTGATTCATTTTCATCTTATAATGGAAGTGATTTGCTCTTTTATTTAGCTGAGTGTGTTTGTCTCCAGGTCCAGTTAAAGCTCCTCTCCTTGGTTCTGGTTTCCACACCGGCGTTGGGAAGGAGTCCAGAGCTCAGACGCTGCAGAACGGTGAGGTCACATTCTGTCAGATGATCCCAGCCGCTTCCCGGCGAGCTGAAGCTGTGTGTCCGTCTCTGCAGGTAAACGTCAGATCCAGCACCTGGGCAGCCAGCTGCAGCTCAACCAGCACTGCCTGGACACGGCCTTCAACTTCTTCAAGCTGGTGGTCAGCAAACACCTGACCAGAGGACGCAGGACGGAGCACGTCATCGCCGCCTGCCTCTACCTGGTGTGCCGCACTGAAGGGACGCCTCGTATCCTAGCAACCAGCTCTCAGAGCTGCTGCTCAAAACCACTGATCTCTATTTATTCCCTGGATGGCTGATTGCCAGTAGCTAGTACAGGGTTAGAGTGAAGCCACCGGCCGCCATATTGGTACTCCCTAGTTAGACCAGCTGCAATATGTGTGCTACAGCATTGAACAATAATGCTGTAGCACACATAAATAAATAAACATATACATCTATATACATACAGTGGGGAGAACAAGTGTTTGATACACTGTCCCAAGCACTTTTAGCAAAAACGTTCCCCATTATTATCCTGTGTTTTTATTGGACGGATTGATTTTATTTGTAATTGAAAAAAGTTTTAGATGAAACGTTTTTCAGGATTTCAGAAAATTTAGCACCAGATCAACATCCTGCAGGCGACTGAGGGAGAAATCGCCCGTTAATCAGTTAATGCAGCAGGATAGTTTTTAATAAACAAGAAATAAATGAGATAGAAAAGAAAGGACTTCACTGATTTTACCCTTAAAATAGAAACTTCTAAATAAAAAGAGCTTTTAAAGGGACAAAAACAAGCAAAAAATAATTTAAATAAATATATTAGATAGCATCACTAAAACAGAGATGAATAAATCACGTTCTGCAGCAGAACCTCTAAAATAAGTCGGGTCCATTTTTCCTGAAGCGAGCCTCAGATATGCTGCTGGACCTCAGCGACCTGCTTCAGGTAGGACCGACCTCACAGGTACAGACAGACGCTCCGAGCTCTGGACCAATCAGGGCCTGTTCTCTGTGTCCAGGTGAACGTCTACACCCTGGGAAAGACCTTCCTGCTGCTGGCGCGGGAGCTGTGCATCAACGCGCCCGCCATCGGTGAGACTTCCTGCCCCGATCATGTGACCCGCCCGCCTGAGGTCACATTTAGCTCAAACAGGATGTGATTAGACCTAAACAAGGACTGTGGTGCCTAAAAAACTGAAATTCAAAAATCATTACAACTTTAAAAAGTGATCAAATTAAAGGAAAGTCCTTCCTGTATCTAGGGGGACCTCTGGTGGCAGCTGCAGGAAATTACAGCTAATTAAAAAAAAAAATTACACTTTATTTAAAGTCAGCAAAATTTATTGATTGAAACCTCTCAGAAGCACGAAGTCTATTAGAACTATAACCGCCATCTGTCATCATCAGACGCACCAGAGCCAGACTTCCAGGCCTTCAGCAGTAAAAGATCAGTTCTGGGATCTGCCCCCCCTGCACTCCGGTGCCGTTGGTACTGTCTGAGGAGCACTGAAACTGGAAGGTCACCTTCCCACATTGCACCTCCGTCATTCCCTCCTGTCCAAAGTAGCTGAGCTCGTTCCCGTCCAGGACGGCGCTGACCGTGTAGAAGGTGTCCTGCTCCACCTGGACCGGATGTTCAAACCAGACGGGGAAGGTGCTGCTGGATCCGTCGGACAGAAACTTGGTGAGGTTCTGGGCCAGCAGGGTCCCCTGCCTCTTTAGCTCGATCCTCACGCTGTACTCGGCCTTCCCGCCGCTCGATCCGTACAGGCCCAGCCCCGCCATGAAGATCCTGCGGTCCACTGCGAACTGGATGCTGTCGCAGCGCCCCCTGTAGCGCCACTGGTTGCTGCGGTAGGCGGAGGCCTGGAAGCGGTGGCACCTCTGCGCCGCCAGGCCGACCCGTTTGCCCACAGGGAAGTCCAGTTGCGGTTTGTTGGCGGCCGTGTACCACAGGAAGATATTGTGGGTCTCTGTCAGCGTCAACACGTCCGATTGGGCCGGTCCGTCTGCAAACTCCTGCAGAGACATGGAGGGGATCCGGATCAGGTACAGAGCCTTCCCAAGCACGGTCCGCTGGTTCCGAGGGGTCGCCACCAGGCCCTGCCGCCGACACTCCGCCGCCGCCCAGCTCAGCGCCGCCTGGAAAACCGCGTTCTCACGGATGTTGAGGGTCTCCCTCTGCAAAACTATCTCCAGCGTGGGCCGGTCGATCTCGCAGAACCCTTCCGACCGCAGCGCCAGTTCCGCCTGAGCGTCGATCACCTCCCAGCAGCGCTGCGTAAGCTCCGCCTCCTCAAACAGCCGGCTCTGGGACAGCAGCACGCAGGCGTTCTTCGCCTCCAGGCTCGTCTCCAGGAAGCCGACGCACGCCTTCGCCACGGCTGGAACAATGTACTTCTTGGCAGCGTAGAGGGTGGCCAGCACCGTGTCGGCGTCCAGCTCCACCTCGTCGCTGTACATGTACCTGAGACACAGGGGACAGGGGGGACGTTAGACACATCAGAGACAGAGAGGACACGCCTAACAGCTGCATCACTGGACGGACGGACCTTTCCAGAGACGCTCGGCGTGAATAAGGCTGCGATTGAACCCATTAAGACTTGAAACCGGGTCTGAACAGGTCACACTGTGCACCGGAGGCTAAATCCAGGTTAGCCAGGTGTCCACAGACTGAAGAACCCTGAAAAGGTCTGAACCGGACTTACTGAGTCTACAAAGGTTCTGATCCGGGTCAGAACCGGGATAGGTAGGTGAATACTTTTGGGATCTAACCTGATCTGAGTTGGTTTAGTCTAAACCACAAATAAAGCAGCAAATACGTGTTGGTCCTGTAGGGGGAGTGATGCTCCCCCTACAGGACATTTTTTATAAACGAAGTGCCTGAATGAGTCTAATCTAGGTCAGATCTTTAAACTCGGCCTAAATCTTGCTCTTCTACTTCTACTTTCACCGGCGCGTCTCCAACATCCAGCGTTGAGTTCGAACTCTTATACAGTAGCCCGATAAAACCCAATAAAACCTGGAACTAAACGCCATTTCTGACATTTTGAACTGAAAAAGCTTCCTGGATGGAAGAGAAACGTCTTCAAACTTGGAAACAAAGTCCAATTGTTGCTTTGCTTCCTGAACGTGGCTTTTCTTTGGGATAACATGTTAACTATTAAGCAGTTAGTCCGGATCGGATCAGTTCTAGTCTTAGAACTCACTTTAACAAGGTGAGGAAAGCAGCTGGTTCCACGTCGGGGATGTGGATCTCAGATTGTCCCTCAGCCAGGTCTCCATAGAACATGGCTCCGAACACGGAGCTGCCGACCGCCAGGACGTACTGCAACGCAGACAGGAAACGGATCAGAACCGGCCAGAAAACCCACAATGTGAGGATTAAAAAGTTCGGTACCTTATGAGCCGGGACTGTCTGCGTCTCTCCTGGCGGACCCACGATGAAGTGAATGTCAGCCATGTGCTCGTTGTTGAACATCAGAGCGTTCCTGAACAAACAAGAGGGAGGAGTCAGCAGGGGGCGCCGCTCACTGGACCCTGTCGTCGTACCAACATCCTTCCTACTCATCTGTAGCGGGTCAAAGCGAAGTCGCATGTTTGGTTCTGGCTAGGGATGCACCATATTGGGATTTTGGCCGATATCCGATATGCCGATATTTTAAAACTCATGTAGCC